CAGTGCAGCCAATCACTATGGAACCACTGAGCCATTGTTTTTTTTCTACTAGCATGGGAATTTAAATGTGAACATTTGAAAGGCTCAACAAGACTTGCCTTCTACAATTTTAGAGAAAAGTTAAAACCCCTGTTATTTATTTATTAGTCTACTATTGTTGATTGTCACTGTACGTTATAACTCGTACAGGCATGAAATGTCAGCAAAAAGGGTGCAGACTATGGGCATCCATCCATCCATCCATCCATCCATCCATCCATCCATTACCTTTACCTGCTTCTTCCTTTTCGGGTCATGGAGGTCACTGATGTCCATATCCAGCATTCACTGTGTGAGAGGCGGGGGACACCCTGGACAGGTCTCGAGTCCATCACAGGGACACACAGAGACAAACAACAATTCATTCTCTCACTCACACCGAGCAACAGTTTTTGGTTTGTGGGAGGAAACCGAAGTAATCAGAGAAAACCCACACATGCACGGAGAGAACATGGAAACTCCACCCAGAATAATAAATAATAATAAAGTGCTATGTGTTGTCATCATTGTATGGTCTCATACAAAGATGAAACTGGCTTTCTGCATTTAACCCATCACACCTGGGATACACCCAGGTAAAGCAGTAGGCAGCTACATAAGGAACAATTTGGGATTGGGTGTCCTGCTCAGAGACACCACGAGATGTGCAATGACTGGGGATCGAACCCAAGACCTTCGGGTCCCGAGTTGGCTGCCCTGCCCCTACACCATATCAGCCCCATCTATGGCCCCCAGCCTGGATTTAATCCGACAACCTTCTCGCTGAGAGGTGGCAGCTCTAACAACTCTGCCATTGTGCCGCCATCGAGGACATGTATATACAAATATAGCTTTCATTCAGTCTCAGTTTGAATCAGAGCACAATGTAAAATGTACACCATGATAACAAAAATTAGATTTAAAGGTTAGAATAAATTAAAACGTGCACGTCCTTCCATTTAGAATCTCACTGGCCTGCGACAGTTGGACAAAACCTGACTCAGTTTGTGAGAAAATAGTCAAATGTTCTGTTGCAGTCTGACTGAGTTCTGAATATTTGCAACCAAAAATAGTGTAAGGTAAACAATCAATGTGCAGCTGTAATTGGGAGCTTAATGGAGTTCATTCAATCACTATTTATTGTCTGGGGCCACAAAGCCTGGCATGATTTATCCTGTCTTACACAGAGCAAAATGACTGCGATACCCACATTACATTGTTGAAAGTTGCATTTCCATTAAACGTATCAAAGAGCAGAGCTTAGATTTCAATGTAAAACAATGTGAAACATATTAAGTTTTCCTCTATAACAAAAAGGGACACCCTGCAGCTCTTTTTCTTTAGCACAAGTTATAAAAAGTATCAGAAAATTGGATCAGGGAAATCTTGGCATACAGACATCTCTTTAGGCTCTTTTTATAAATTTAAAATCTCCCCAATTTTCTGAAGTGACACAGAGCAATCTTAGAAAGTCAAAGTCATAGCTCTAGTGGAATGTAAGAATAGATTTTCTCATGGTAAGCACTCTGATCTGATTATATCTACACAGGGCTTTGCGTACTTCAACATTAAATGGGAATACACCTGTTGAGTCTTCTTTATGTGTTACCATGTGTTAAAATGCAGCGTAAGCATAACACAGTGTGTCAATGTGGAGTGAACTATTAACTTTTTAAAAAGGACACATTTAAATGTGGATGGAAATCCAAATCAGTTTGTTGTGCTAAGCATATTCCACCATTTGAATAAAACATGTAACAAAATTCTACTAAATTACCACAAACTATTAAATTTGGCCTACTGTATTTTCCACCGTACACGTCGCACCACTCTATAAGTCGCATCAGTCCAAATATGTCTAATAAAGTGAAAAAATCCATAAATACGTCGCTTCGCCATATACGTCATATCTATTATGCATCACCACTGACAACCTGAAAATGTGGGCCAGTGTTGTGCCAAAAGTTGATTGACTGCCAAATGGCAGCCGCGGGAGCGTGCACAGGAGGACTTTAACAAATATTTAACTAGATTAACACAAAAACAATTATTTTTTTGCTTGAAATTATAGCAAAAGTGTGTCTCAGTCTAACTTTTCCTTAATAAATGCACTTTTACGGTCAAATCAGCTGCATTTCAAAAGCCGATACGCAGAAACGGGAACGTGCAGAGGACGACACACTGTGCATTTCTTCAAAATTTAACAAGATAACCACCTAAAAACAATTGTTTGCTCGACGTTATAGCAAAGGTGTGTCTCAGTTGAACTTTTACTTAATAAATGCACTCCAATGGTCAAATTAGCTGCATTTCACCGGGGCGGCGCAGCGAAATGAAGCCGATTTGACTGTTTTCCAGGCGAGCTAGACGGCTGTGGCTGTCTATGGCAAGCTGATTGTGTCATTAATAGCCAATTTTACCTATTACATGACACAACGGCATGCCATACAACTCGAGTGCCATCTAGTGGCTGAAAATTGTATCAATATTTTCAGTCAATGAATGAAAATGGTCATATCTCAGCCAAAAATTGGTTTATAAATAGAAAAAAAAAATCCATAAATATGTCGCTTTGGCCTATAAGTCATAGGGCATGCAAATTATGCAAAAAGCACAACTTATATGCCGAAAAATACAGTAAGTTGAGTGCTTTATTAGCTCATGCATGTATGCTTATAAGAATTCTGTGCTTTTTTCTTTTATAGAGATAAAAGTAGTGATCCCAACATTTAGGGTGTGCGTGTAAGAAAACTGGTGAGAAACGCAGCGTGTTTTCTCATTTGGGGTGTTTGTAAAGCAATCGCATATCGGTCTCCTGGACGAGTGAAATGGATCCTTGTCCATTTCTATTATTGTTCTTGCACTCCCAATGATCACCTGTCAATCAAGCAGCACTGTTGGGATTTATTTTCAACAAAAAGTTTTCATTGATGTAGGTTTGTTTTCAGCTAAAACGGTAGATGTAATAACTGCAAAAGTTGTTGCTGTGTTTTTCAGGCTCCAAAGAAATTGAAAATGTCAAATGTATGTGTATCAGTTCTCAGGTGCCAGGAGGGTGTTTCCTGAGAAAAAAGTTTTTCCTGTAATAGTATGCAGTTAGTGTACTCAGTCCAGACTCTGCTCACTTTGACAGAGCCTCTCAGCTCCTGTGTCTTTTGTCAGTCAGACGAGCTTCAGGCCAGTGTGAGATTTGTTTATGGAAAATTGCTGAAAGAGTCTGGTTACGCTACCACTGGTGATCATTTTACTTTGTTTTTTAATCTAAAATATTTCCCTAATGGGATTATCTTATTCTATAAAACTTTTTTCTAAATTATGCATGTGCTATTTGTGTAAAAGCTGACATATTTAGAGCCCAGAGATTTTTGGTGACCTGCAATTTAAAGTTTTTCTTGTATTCTTCTTCTTCTCTTCTCATACCATCAGCCACTGTCTGTCCTTCTTGTCCACGTCTGACCCAGTTCGATTAAATTTCACCTGTTGTCACACCGCTCGCACGGCTTCATCTCTGTGCCACATGCTGACATTCGTGCACAAACGCATGGAAACACACAGTGCGTAGTGGGAAGTGACGGCAGAGTGGGGCGGCAGGCATGACAAGGCCCTCATTCTAGCACTTGGCCACATGCACGCTTGAGGACATACGTGTGTCTCTGTGTGTGTGTGTGAGAGAGAGAGAGCAAGACACCTAATGCTCTCAAAATCACACACAGTCAGGAATACAAATGAATTTATGGGTGACTTTGCACACACATACACACACACACACACACACACTTCTTTCTCTCACAGTAGAAAAGAGAGTGAGCTCAGGTAGCTGTCAGCTGCTCCCCAACAGGGAACAGTGGGCAAGTCAAAAACAGCCTCCTCGCTTGTCACTCTGCACACACATACACGCACACACACCCAACAGAAAGTGCTTCGATGTGGAGAAAAAGAAAGAATGAGATGCCTTGGGCAGATGCTGGACCAGTTGCCTAAGCTTCATGAAGAGTGTGTGTGTGTGTGTCTATCAGACTGTCTGCCTGTCCATCCGGCACCTCAAAAGGCCACCTGCCAGAGAGCCCAGGTGGAGATGCTGACTTCCATTCAGCTCTAACCTGTGAGCCGATGATAAGAAAATGTTTGTGCGTTCTCACATGCGTGTAAGTGTGCAAGATAAACCAACGGCGGTAACCGCAGCTGCTTCTCTATCCAAGGAGATGTGTTTTTGTTTCTTTTGACTGATTTCGTTCATGGATTTCCGATCAGGTTGTCTACCTGTGCGACCTCTTTAAACGCCCCCAGTGGTGAGGCGAGGACGTCGCGCCAGCTGGCTGCCCCACAGCCCTCAGAGTGGGCGCAGAGCCACAGCAGCTGTAGCTGCCACAGTACGGGTCAATTACTCTCTAAGTTGATATTTTGTACACACAACATTACCACATACACATGAGCGCACGTCTTGTTTGCCCTGTGCATTCAGCCGCCTCTGACAATGTTTACAGTTTGCTGTTTCACACTCGATCAAAGCCGAGGTCTCAGTGGGAGCTTTAGGCTCAAAGTCTTAAGAATTGTTGCTGCCTGACTTGCGAGGCCATGGAGTGTTTGGATAACCTTAGTGTGCCTCCGTGTCGCCGTCTCTTCAATGTTTCCCTGAACGGTGAATCTTTAAAGTTTTTGAAGAATCTTCAGTGAACAAAAGTGATCCGTCCACAAGACCATGCAAAGCCAGCCCTGCTACCACTCCTTTTCTCTACAAAAGCATCAGAGGATGACTCATAATATAAATAATCTGCTCAGATATTGCTGTCCACTGTTGGAATATTAATTCTGCATAAATCGTAAGCAGATTCTAATATGATAAAAACTGTATTTGATGAACTTTGGGCTAAAAAGGTGTTTCATTCAACTATGTGCTGAATAGGATTTGAAGCTTTTATATATAATTTTTCATGAATCCTCACTTTCTCTAATGTATGCTCCTTTGTTTCCTTCCCCTTTAGGCTGTCGGGGTATGCTGTGTGGCTTTGGTGCCGTCTGCGAGCGCGACCCAACAGACCCAGCCAAGGGAGAGTGCGTCTGCAAGAGAGTGGAATGTCCGTCGCTGGTGGCTCCGGTGTGCGGCTCAGATTCGTCCACCTACTCCAACGAGTGTGAGCTGGAGAAAGCCCAGTGCAACATGCAGCGACGGATCAAGGTGCTTCGCAAGGGCCCCTGCTGTAAGTTCAATCACCTGAACGCAAACTGGATTCATTAAGACCTTCATAAACACACTGAGGGAAAATATACAGTTGAGCAAATCACCCATTATTTATAGCATGATACAATGAAAACTGACATGATTCAAGAAAAATGCTTTATGATACATGACAAAATGATACGATGCCATTCAATATAACTTGGACCGCAGTAGCTTGGTGGTCTGTGCAGGGGTCTTGTAAGGGCTGTGGGTTTGAGCCCAGGTTGTGTCAGGAAGAACATCCGGTGGGAAACAATTGCCAAATATTTCTTGTTCACAGTGGCGACCCCTGCAGAAAGAAACAGCCACAATAAGAAAACAGTGCATTATGATACAAAACAGCATTATATGACAGGTTTGTCAAGAGAGTCACTATACTTTGATCCCAGCATGGTTTGTCTTCAGCATGTTCCTTTTATAGCACAGCATTTCTTCTTTGCATATTGGTTTCCTACCAACGTTTAGACAGTCTTCCACTGATTGTACTTTTGAAGCTCATCTAAAACATCTGAATTAACATCAAACCTTTTATCACCGTTAAAATAATGTTTGTGCATATTTTTCTTTACATCTTTTTTTGTTTGTATTTATATCTTATATTTACTTTATCAATCTTACTAGAGCATTCCCTACATATTGTACTTCATCTTCTTCTTTTTTTATGTTTTACCTTCAACCTGCCCAGGACTACCAATGAAAACGCTCCCATTTCTTAATAAGACACATTCACATAGTAAACATACTGTGTGTTCGTTATTGTGCTCATTTCATTTTTGAATACATATAATACAATAAATACAATAAGATGTAACGTATGATCCCATTAAAGACGATACGATAACATACGATACATTATGATACAATAAAATCTATTTAATACACTGTGTTTTTTTGTCCCCTTTGGCAAATCTTGTTTTGTCTTAGCAAAGTTTGATCGGTTACTTTTGTATGCGCTTTTCACTACAGAGAAACATATTGTAGAAAATCTTTTGGCATTTGTAGAACAGCCTGTTTCCATCTCGTGTGAAGATTTTCAAAGATTGAAAATAAAGCCTGAGGATGTTGGTAAAAGTATGTCAAGTTGAAGTTTAACGGTTAGTTTGTATGCACGTGGTGAAGCGAAGTGTACTTGTACAAGACGTCAATACAACCTGTTGCCATTAGTGTGTAGTGGGTTTGGATGTTTTGACGAGTCAGATTAGCCCCTTTGATCCAGAGAAGATTGATCCCAGAAAGACTAAACCATCTGATGTTATACAGACACTTGCCATTAATCTGCTCCTAGAGGTGGATGTAAACACTGAAGTATAGGTTTGTAAATGGCTTTGAAGCTTGCAGAATGTTCTTCATGATTGGAGATGTCTTTAAGTAGAATGACTTTTTTCAGATTAAGCAAGAATTATTTTAAGTGTCAACAACTTGCTTGCCTTTGTCAGGTAAATGGATGTCTATTACTTTCTGTCTGAATTGAACAAGCTTTGCCTTTTCATCTTTTCCACAAATAAATAAATAAATAGCCATGGTCTTATTATGTCTGTTCTAGTGCCCTTTCAGTATGCCTCAGACCTCGGTTCTTTAGCCCCACCTGCACCCCCCTGAACAAAATGTGTGCTACTTACTGCTCCCACTGGAACACATCTAACCTATTTTACCTCGTTGCCCCTGGTTTGGTGTCTATTGCATTTCTTTAGCAAAGCCCATCAAAATCCAAGGCTCCAAGGAGCAAAATCCTGACAAAGCTGTGGCGTTGCAGCAACCCCAGTAATAACTTCAGTGTTTTGTCAGCATTGTTCCTCCCTGTCAGCGTGGCCCCACTGCTAATTCCTGGGGTCTGATTACATTGCAGGCTTGAACCTGGCACTAATAACAGTCTTGGTGACTGCCCACAACTGGCAGAGGGGAAATAAAGATATAAAAAAAAAAGACTGAGAAAGGCTAGGAGGAACACAAGGTACAACAAAGAAATAAAAAAGAACAAATAGATTTGATGAGAGAAGGTGTAATTTAACAGAAAGTGAGCATCTAAGAGCATCTGAGTGAAAAACTGAGAGGGTGAGGTGAACACTTTTCAGCAGCAGAGGAAATCCAGAGAGAATAAGTGCTTTAATGATGGCTTATGAAGAGTTAAGGCCAGCAGGATAATTATATCCTGCAACAATAGAAGATAGTATTATAGAGAAAAAGGTACCAAATAATCAAATACTAATTATAGTACTGCTGATAATAAGTACGTATAGACTCAGCGCTTCTCTACTTATTGTTGATACCTGCATCAGGAACAGATTCATGTCCTCTCCTCTACTGTCTGAACTTTACAAAGTCAGACAGAACTGATTCTAATGATTGGTCATCTTTGACGTTTTCCATGTAACCTGTCTGCCTTTCAGAGGACATCCAGTTTTATGTAGAACTTGGACACAGATCCAGTGCTGTGCCATAAAAACAACTGGATTGCAGATGAAAGTACAATAACTGAAAAGTCTGAAGCTTGTAAACCGATTGCCATATTTTAGCTCAGTTTAGGTCCCTCAAAGCAATACGCTTTCACTGTGATTATAGCACAATCTTCACATTTGGTTCAAAATGTCCAAATCACCACATAATGACTTGAGAGACGAAGATTAATTAGGTTAACTTGTGGCAAGTCAGCCTTCATCCATGAGTGAAGTAAGAAATGTCATCCTTTAATTAGAATAAATCAACAACTTGATTCCATTTAATACTTTGCTACAGGCACAACTGAATTATTAAGGACATTTCAAAGATTCAACATTTTTGAACAATGGTCTTTAATAAAGATTTATGTCCGAATGTCGCCGGTTCTAATCCCTCTGACCGTAACATCAAAATGTGTGTGGGAGAGGTTACGCACCCACACCTACTCTTGTCCCTTGAACAAGGCCCTTAACCCCCACCATCTACTCCACCGGGCACCCAAGAAGGCAACCCTCTGCTCCACACGTGTGGGCTGTGGTAGCTCGGTGGTCAGTTGTTGCGTCAGGAAGGACATCCATCATAAAAAAAATGTTGCAGATTCTTCATGCGAGCTCATTCGCTGTGGCGAACCCTGAAAAATGGGGAGTGGTGGCGCAGGGGTTGGAGAAGATGGGCCTGAGATTAGAAAGTCGCTGGTTCAACTCCCGGTACCGTCAACATCAAAATGTGGGTAGAAAAGGTGAAACACCCACACCTGCCTCCACCATCATTTGCCCCAATCTGGGCCCCTGAGCAAGGCCCTTAACCCCCACCATTTGCTCCTAAAAACAGGTCTCTCTTGAAAATGAGTTCTTGGGACTCAATGAGATTATCTGTATAAATACAGCGTAAATGAAAATAAATAAAAAAAGAAGGGAGCATCCGAAAGAAAATGAAAAAATAATGCTCCTATCCTCCTTAGACTAGATGTATCATGGTGTTTCGCTGTCCATCCGTCTGTCCGTCTGTGGACAATTTATTGTCCAAGCTCTAAACTGATAACCCTTTACCATTGAAATGTCAAACGATGCAGCTGGACACTTCATGTTCAGTGATTGTCCCTATAAATTCCAAGGTCACAGGGTCAAAGATCAAGGTCACCAGTGGCCCCTTTTTTCCCCAAAACATTGCCTGTGCTCTTAACGCTGAAACCATATAACATAAAAATGTCAAACTGAACATCTGGACACCTCATGGGTCAAGGATGATCCTTGTGGATTTCCAGGTCATTGGGTCAATGGTCAAGGTCACGTGACCACATTGTTTAAGCCTTGTCTATGCCCTAGCCTGACATTTGAGTAACATAATAATGTCAAACCCTTTGTTCCCTAGATTGTCCTTATCTGTCTATCTATAAGACAATACATAGGAAGTTGTCCATGGTATAACTCCACAAATAGAAAATGTCATTAAACTCTGGCTCTGCATTTGGATCGTATTAAGAACACTTCAACCAAATAATTCTTCAGTGGTTCTGGTGAAGTCTCCTACTCTGATCATAAAATGGTTTGGATAGGTTGGTCATTGTCTACAGGTAAGCTCTTCACGTTGCAACTGATGCACATGTTCTTCAGATGAACTGTTTATTGATTTACACCATGGACCACATTATTATCAATATAATTGGCATTTCAACATACCACAATCATGTAAATAAGTCATGTAACCTAACAGACACTTTTATTCAGGACTGTTATGTGAGGTCTTTCATGTTTTGGATTTTGATGATTCAATTAAATCTTGTTAAAATGTAAAAACAAACCATTTGTTTCACCATTTTTTAAATATATTAGTCACATTTAAAAAAAAAATGCTAAAGCACATCTGTGCTCAATTTTGAGTGTCTGAATTAGCAAATTAAAAGTAGTTTTTCAGTATAAAATAAAGAATTTCTCCCCTCAGTTTGCATCTCTCAAAGATAAGAGCTGTCTGAGAGCTTCAGAAGGGCTTTTATCAACAACTTGATTATTCCAAAAAGCTGCATTCCATCCTTGGTGCTAGAAAAGAAGATGCAAGAGATGCCTGTAAGGGTTGTTGCAAACTTTGAAGAAAGAATCCCAAAACAACATCTAAAGACCTTCAGGCAGAACTGGAACATGTTGGAGAAGCAGTTTTAGGTTGTAACAAACATTGTACAGTGAATTAAATTAGTTCCACAAGGAAAATAATAAAAATACAGTGAATATGTAAAAAAAAAAAAAGGACAATATTTTTACAAAGTCTCTGCCTTTTTGGGATAATACTTTATGGTGAGAAGAAAAGTAAGTGGATCTCATTGAAAAGGTAGATGAGCAGTATGTTCACAGGTAATAAAATAAAGCTCGTGAGGACAAAGACAATTACATTTGGTAAAACCTAAGAGGAAGTTTTATTTTTTCTTTCTGTTCAGTGGGGTCATTTTGCTGCTGCTGGTACCAGGAGCGCTGCTTGCATCAAAGGAATAAGTTAAATCTGCGGATTACAAAGGCATGTTAAAATGAAACGTGTTAACTAGTGTCTAAAACT